GGAAGGCCAGATCAGCCACTACGTCGCACAGTGACTTTCAATAACTCTCTGTGACGACAAGCTGTGGGCACGCACAATGCACGCGGGCGAGCCAGGATTGCAGGAAACCGTCGCTGACCGGCTGCATACCGGACGACGCATGGTCATTTAACTGTCCATTGATTCACCGGAGTGGTGAGGAACCCCAGCGTGTCATTAATATACAGAGAACGGCGAATAATCAGTCGGCAGGTGACCCATCTCAAAGAGGCAGCCCAGTTGATGACTCAGCATCATGTGCATACCGATGTTGACCGGTCACCGTGGGAACAACATAATTCGGAGAGCCATTGCGTGTTTAGGTGTGTGACGCATACCTGCATAGCGCACAAGAAAGGTGATTGGCTGCCAGGGGAATACCTGAGGCGGCTGAGCAGCCCGTATAGGCTGCTTCATTGGCGGAGGGTGATTCATCGGATGCCACCCACAGCATTCACATGATTCTTGGATAAGATGTTTCAGCTAAGGTGGAAGCATATGAATCGACTCGAGTTATCAGCGCTGAGGTCTAAAAGATATCCACAAAAGGTAAGACAATGTGAGGGTATATGATCCGGATGGGACGGCACAATAAAGGAAATGTCAGAACTCATGTGCAAAACACATTTATATGGACAAAACAAAGAGAAATGTACTGGATCATCGATGATCACCAATATTATCAGAATAAAAAAGATGGACGTTCTTTTTTTAAAGTAAGTAAATAGTTATTCCTAAATTATTTGTAACAGACGTAACTGCGTTGGGCAATCGATCTACCCGATACAAAATGTTATCATCACCCGGTTTTATCATTACTAGCCTAAACAGTGGGCGTAACCAACCGAGGGCCCCTATCCGAGTCCAGTCTTATCATGGGCCACATCCGTAGTGCGGCGTGTCAAAAAGGTCCGACGGAGTCCGATCTGCTTGGTCTGGAAACGTGACGTTATTAAACAGGCCCCCTTCCGGACACACCCATCAACACCAGTGACCAGATCCCGCGCTGGCCTTTGCCCTTCACGGCTCGTGGCAGGCATCAGTTAATCCTCACTGACAAGGCTGGACAAATGTCAACGTAAACATACCCGAACTGAGGCCAGTCGAGCAGTGCATGCATTGTGACACCATTGAGATCCTTGGTTCAGAGCATTTAGGGTCAATTTACTGTAGCTTTCAAAGGAAAAATACCAGCACAAGCAGGCATGCGTGAAGCCTGACATTGTGATTGGGACAATGAGACGCTAAACTCCAACGGGCGAACAACTACGCTTTAAGTTCTTACAATGAACCGGGCGATGTTCATGCTGGTTGACTCGTAAACCAAAACAACTTGAATGACTTTGAACCGGGCGATGTTCATGCTGGTTGACTCGTAAACCAAAACAACTTGACAACCTTAATTCCCAAAACATCCCTGCACTGGAACCAATTGCCTACGCACATACGAAACTGCCAAGAGATGAAAAATTCAAACAAAGCATTAAACTACTACTCGGCACACCACAGCCCCCACACTACAACGCACTAGGAACTAAGGTTGGGAACACTTTGCACACACAAATCAGACTGGGGATGTCCAAGTTAAACGCACACCAGTACTCTATACAAAAAGTAACAAGCCCCGAGTGCGCCTGTGGCTACACACAAGAAAACACAAAACACTTCATCCTTCACTGCCCACACTACGCACTGACGAGGTCCACACTATTTGCACAAGTATCCACACACCTCAACATTGATTTCAACAACCAATCAGACACCATGAAATTAGACACACTTCTACACGGACACAACACGACAAAGCAAAACGCATCTCAGGTTCTCCTTGCCTTTCAATCCTTCCTCAAAAACACCTCCAGACTGATATAGCCCCGTCTCGGTGGACTGGCGCCGGCCCGCTATCACCGCTTATCAATGCAAACTGTCGCGGCAGCCGACCTGACTCTCCGCGGCCCTGGATTGTACCATATTCATTTATTCTGTTTACGTTACCAGGTGGTGGTGCCTCGATTTAAAGGGACACTCCCACCTTAACATTAGTTTTAAGTTGAGATAGCCAAATTGGTGGCCATGGCCTGCAAATACCGGTTTGGGCACTCACAACATCGACAAATGCTTTAATTCGGAGATATGGAATTTCAAACTTGCGGTTTTCGGATTCTAAGGGGCTAGTGCATTGGTATGCCCCCTTAGAATTTGTGACGTCAGCGGAGATCTAACGATTTTTAAATCTTTTACTAAAACGTTTGGTAGCACGCGGTGGTATATGCTGCTTTGCGCGCAACAAATGCCGCACTTTCAAATAAAGTCGCTAGGAACAGCGGAGATCCCAAAAAGTAAACAAAAGTAAAAGTCTAATATCTTGAAAACCGGTGAATATTTTTCGATGAAATTTGGTAGATATTCGTTTTCGCTCTTTCTGAACCGAGCGACATCACTTTCGTGCCAATTCATTAACTTTTTTGAAGGTGGGAGGGTCCCTTTAAGCATCAGCTTTTGCACCACCACCTGGACTATCTGCTTATTTCCATTTTATGTCTAATAAATGTGTTTTGTTGTTGTTGTTGTTGTTAACAGGCCTGCGCAGTGTTGCTATGGAATCTGCCTCGTCCTTCAACAGCCTTGCCAACAAACAAAGACCAATTTCGGCATACCACTGAAAGTTATCAGTCAACTCACATATCTTTCAATGGCCTGTCCTCGAAAAAGCGTCTGTTGATGCTAGTCACACAACGTCGCAGAAGAAAAGATTTCGCGTCACGAGGATACTGACCCGGGCCCAAGCTGGTAGCTATCAAGCAACCGTTCACAGTTGAAACCCAGGGGTTTTTACCACCCGGACGACGTGAGAAAATCGTGGCAGTGTTGTGGTTGGACGCGTGCGACTCTGCGATGATTATTGGAGGTAAGCACGGAATATTGGCGAGAAGCGGCGGCAACAGCCTTCGGGGTAATAGTCGGTGTTTTTCCCAGTGTCGCGTGCGGTCCGTCTCTTCGTGATCACTCCGTTCTAACACAGAAACGGAACTGCCAAGTAGTTTAGCAGTTTACGGTATTCTCAAACGAACGGGTTTCCTTCATTCGCTGGACAAGTACCATCAGTTCCAATTCGTTAGGTCAGTCTTGACTGCATCAAATTACGATTTGACGTACGAGTAGTTCATGCTGGAATGCATTTGATGTGGTTTGACACACGGCGAGATCTTATTAAGATGACGTAGACCGCGATGTATGGCGAAGAGTTGCCTTATCAACCAGAACTACCTTCCTTAGAAAGTTTTTAACATCAGATGACATTATGAAATTGCTCTTCTTCCCTCTCGGTCTACCCTTGATAAGCAATACGACAAGAAGACCCAGCGCCTCTCGCTGCTGACAAGATTCCACCATCCCCATTGTCCCTTACAAACCGTTTGGCCAGTGGCAAATCCACCATAACCGCTAGCTACGTAGTCAGCGGTTACCAAAAATCCCACTGTCTCGTCTTCTGGAATACTCTCTTTGTTTTATCTACCGCTGGATAAAACGGGCCTCTTCTGTCGATGCTTCGCAATAACCTGGTAAATACCGACTACTCCCCGACGCCTCAGACCACCTCAGAGCACCTCACGCACTCTGTAGCTCTCAGTGGGACGTGGGTATATCGGGGCTAACCCTGTGATCTCAGACGGGACACGAGCTAGCGCCGACGCAACGCCGTCATTGCGGGGGTTAGCTGAACTTGCAATGCCAGAGCATCGCCCTTCGGGTGCGGTCAGTGACATAGTGTGAGCCTGTTTCGCAATGGGAGGAACTACAAGCAGGAATTATACGCGATAGGTAGGTCGGCGTTGCTGACGCGAGCATTGACCGCTGGTGCTAGGGCGTTCCAGGGGAGAGAGACAGCAGAGATGTGGATAATCAGACCAGCAGCCGCGACCAGCAACTTAACTTGCTGATGAGTGTTCAATAACTGCCAATCAAGATTTTTAAGAACTTCCTGTCCAGTGTTCAGCAGCTCCGTCCCAACCAGTCCCCGTCCCCTTTCACTGTCACCTCTTCACGCGTGTCTCACACTACCGGGAAACCCAGGGTGTCAGTGGGGTCGCCCCACCTCTGACCTCTCACTGACCCGGTACCTCGACCTCTGACCTACTCTGCCAGAGTATGCTGTTCTGGAGTTGACCGTGACCTCTATAACGTTCGGTAATATTCCGTGATGAGACGGTAAGGATTTCATGAACCTCCGTGAGAGAAAGACGTGAGCGCGGGTGGTAAGACTTACAAGGTTTATAAGGTGAAGTGTAGAAGAGGTTGATGGTCGCTTCGAAGTTCATAACTACCGCCCACTGATTGATATGATGGGAAATCGATAAAGCACCGGGCGAACCACACCTTCCACGATCGATCAAATACGGATACCGATCAATAAACCAAGATGTGCCAATAAACGGCTGATTTCATGATACTCTACATAAAAATGGCAATATGCTTTCAGCTGCATTATGCAGAAGATTTTGCTCTCAAAGTTTTCAAGATATCTGCTGAGATGAAAAGCGAAAACCGTGCAGTAGCGGCGGAACACCTTCAATTAAGAGGGGGGGGGGGCACTGCCGACTTTTGGTCCCATTCTTCCCATGCAACGCCCATAGGGCTAATGTTAAAATGCCAAAATCAAAGGGGGGCACGGTGCCCCGGTGCCACCCCGTTCCGCCGCCTATGAAACCGTGTGAGCTGTTGAGCTCCCGGCAGTTGACCGTTTTCTCGTCCTCATTTCGGAGTTCCCCTGGATCGGACGGGTGAGCCAGGTCATCTTGGGCGGGGCGCTGACCTTTGCACCTTCTGCCGTCTCAGCTACAGCGCAAAGCCACGGCGACGACACACCACGCGCCGCCGCTGCCGTAAATACCGGCCAGTGACGTCACCAGCTGCTGAGCGCTCATTGGTCGAGCGGGCAGCGGCACCAATATATAGCGCCAGCCGACGTCGTCGTCAGCAGAGCTGAGTAAGCTGCGAACGGTGAGCGCCCTCCCGCGAGACCGGCAACAGTACCGAGTATCACGTGCAAAGTGCATCCTCGTGATTACGACGAAGGAAGTCAACCCAGAAGCTGCCAACTGAAGCCAAGAGGCAAAGCCTATCTGTGATCAGTTACGTGACCTTCGAGGGTGGTGAAGCCACTCCACGCCCATTCGGCGTCATCTTCATCCGCCTCCGCCTGTGTGCATCCGCCCACCTCCAGCCAGCAGTGCTCGCCATGGGTGTGTCAATGCGATGCTGCCTGCTGGCCGTGACTGTGCTGTCCGCGCTTCTGGCGTCAGCTGCCGCCATGCCCGCCTGCAACTGCACCTACCGCAGCTGCGAGCCCGAGCTGCGCGAGTTCCACTGCCCGTACGGCGAGGGCCGTGACCCGTGCGACTGCTGTCGGGTCTGCCTCAAGGGGCCGGCCGACAAGTGCGGTCCCCTGGAGACGCCCTGCGGCCACGGCCTCTACTGCGATCCCGTCAAGGGACAGTGCCGCTCCGTGCATCAGGCATGACCTGGGTGAGAGTTTCAGCCAGCAGCGGCGTCCTGCAGGGAACACCGTGACGGACTTCGTGACAGCCGTGACGGTTCGAGCGCTCCGTGACGCGAGACCGGCCAGCTAGCCACCGCGAGCAGTGCCGGCAGAAGGCGGGCCACCCCGCCGGTGCCTCACCGCTACACCTTGGGAAGACCAACGCGGTAAGCGCTGACAACTGCCAGTGAAGCAGCAGACCACCGTACTCCGTCGAGACACAATGGACTGTGTGCAGCGGTCCAAAGCAGGAGCGCCCCATCACCATCTCAGTCGCCGACCTCACTGTCCGGCCCGCTACGTCCTATCGGCCGTAGCCACCAGACGTCCGGTCGTGCTCGCACGACCCCGACGCTCTGATTTTGCCAAAGAGACCAGTATTTGTATGAGAGAATGAGCGTGGAATCGGTTGAGTGCATACGATGAATGCACTGTCGCTGAGCTTGTTGCGTAGTTGAGTTTTTATTGCTATCTTGTTGACAATGCATCCATAGTGTTATACCATGAAGTCGTTAATACAGAGACCAGTACAAACGGACACGTTGTGCCTTTTCCTGAGCTGGGGCGGAACGTCCCACGCGGCGACCGCTGGGGCCGAGCCAGGCCCGTCACTGGAGCGGGCGTCGGGCGCACTGACGGCACGACACCACGGAGCACGCGATCTTCCGCACGACGCTGAAGGTGACCTCATACGGCACGACAGATAATCGCAACGATACAACAGAGGGTATACAGCGTTTGTGCCTAAAAAGGCCGAAACATGTTGATAAGGTAAGTAGTACGAGCATTTTTACTACGCTCTAAATTTTATGTGTAATACTTTTATATAGGAATGAACCTGGCAAAAAGCGCCCTCTCTTGCATCAGATCTTCAATTTCTACGAAATCCTACGCCAACAGTTTCTCCCCACACCTACACTGCTCCAGCCACCACGTGACCGCAGTCTGGGGGCGGCACCAAACCGGGACGGGTTGACACAGTGCAGTGGCGCCTCCCCTACACTGCACACGTGCAGCCGACCCGCCGGACCGCCAGCCGGCGTCACGACTGGAGGCTGACTCAGCCGCCGGCGCCGGCGAAGCGGGGTCGGTACGTCATCGGAGCGGGTCGGTACGTCATCGACCGGCCGATACAATCGCGCCGCGGCACGAGACCAACACGACGCGGCACGGGTGGACAGGTAGGTCTCGGTCTGTCGTGTAGCGCGGTGTGGCAACTGACATCAGTGAGCGACATCGCTCACAGGCAATCGAGGGTGTGCGAGTTTTATCCCGAGACCTTGCAATTTCTCGGCAAACGCCCAGGAGTACCCACTTTGAACTCCCCGCGCAGAGATCAGGGCCGACCTCGGACAGGTGGGGAGTTTTGCCGCAGACAGGCGGTAGACGGTGGCGGTCTGGACGGTCAGATGACTGCCCATGTTCCAGGAAATACGGCTCGCCGACACCGAGCGACCGCTTCAGCCACTGCAACACCACACCGAGTCGCCACAGGCTTTTTATTCGGGAAATCCCGCACACATCGGAAAGCCCGAAAACGGTCTTTCAATTGACACAAAAGCTTTTTTAAATCATTGACAAATCAGCACCTCAATTAGCTGCGGCCGTTCGTTTGCCTGCTTAGCCACTCGCGTAATTTCACCATGGTCGTGGCCGTGTAGAACTTACGGTTCACTTCCACGTGAGCGACCCGCTGGGCCGCGTTTGCCGTATACGCCACCGACAAACGGTCGCCACACGAGGAAAACCTTCAGACGTGCCGATATCGTCTGCCGCGGCCACTTTGACGCACGAGCTGCGGGCGGGTGGCGTCGGCGGACATGAACTATTCTGGGGGCGTCTGAACAGGTTTGGTCGCAATCGTACCGCTCGGCTGACTCGACACGCAAGTTCCGCTATGGATATGACGCCTGCGTTTGCTCAAGGACACGAAGACAAGGCTTGAAGACTCCAAAAAGGAGCTCTAAAGAAGCACACAACACGCTGCCGAGATTTTGCGACGCAAGGAACTGCGACCGTTCCTTTGATTTCTGTGAAAATCAAATCAGTGGCGGATCCAGAAGCGGGGAGGGGTTTCAGGCATTTAGCATTCTCGCAGCGCCCGATACTGCATGACCTGCAGGCTGCAGCAATTGGAATTACCGACAAAAGCCTACTGATTCTTGAAATGAAGGAACTACATTCTTTTGTTGGATCACGACGAGAGAGTATCCGCTAGCTGTCGCATTACAACTCTTCTGCCTCTGCCTGAGCTCCACTCTCAGTCTTTCAAAGCTGACACAGCTGCATACGATCGTCTCCGCCCAAAACTACCATCTCACGATCTGTCTCAACAACATCTCACCACTGGGAAAGAACACAACCCACGCTCAACCCGAGCCTGCTCCGCCCCAGCACGACGGCGCGATTTCCCACTCATTCTCCTCGCCACGTGACGTGAACCACCGTGGTGAGAATACCGGCACGATCCAGACATCACACATTGAGTAGAGACGAGGCGACGGGCGTGCCGGGACGTCCCCAGGTTAATTACGATTTACGGTAGTCGGACATCACCGTGACGCCAGGCTAATGCCATCACTGCCGTTACCGCAGGTGACAGCATCAATGAAGCCGGTACGACAAAGGAGCCGCTCGAGTTGAAAGTCAACATGTTTGATGGAGCTGTGAGGAATGAAATAAGGACCAGGAGCTCGTTTGAGAGTGCTGAGAATAGGCACAAGGGCGTTCATACTGATACAGACATCTTTCAGCCGATATCAATATCCGGCGGCCTTTTATCCTCTTTTCCCAGATGAATTAGTGAGAGCGAACAAGTGATTGAGTTTCTGCGTGTGAGTTTTCTCAGCATAAAATATGAACAATGTTGAAATGCTCAGCCAAACAAGCCAATACAAACTATAAGAGCCCACTACTTGGAGACACCGAACCCTGCGCGGCGCCTGGCGGGAGAGTCGTCCGCCGTGCAGGGCGGCCGACCCGCAGTGCTGGGATGTGGTGCGGCACAGCATACGCCCCAGTGCCGCCGCTCCAGCCGCGCCATCGAACTTACACAGCGCCTGATTACACCATGGCTGTGCTTTTGTGAAACGGGTTTAGGCTAACTTTTCGTTAGCCTAAACCCGATTTTCAATTTATTTTAATTTACCCTAACTTTTTGGATAGCATAAATTAAAACTAGTGTATTTTGATAGGAACAGCCCAGATCCGAGTTTATACTAACTTTGGAGCACGTTAGCCTAAACCAGATTTACCCTAACCTGGCCAATTAAACGATTCTGCTAGTTCATATTTTATCCACCAGAGTTTGCTTCGTACTCAAAGGCCTTCCTCGTCCAGTAAAAGATCTGGCAGCGATGTGCTACGTCGATTTGGAAGCACGACTGAGATACAATTTCGGCGCAGCTGTTTGCACGCCGGAATATCTGAGCGTTATTGTTGTTGCACGTGCAGTTTCAAGGATGGTGGTCGTTGTGTGCCTACAACAGGTAAGCTAAATATTGTTCTCCCTAATATATGATAGATCAGGTTAAGTAAACAGCCAGAAGAACTCCACCCACCCATATTGTTGTCACTTGTCTCCTTGTTTTGTTTTGTTTTAACACCTACCTTCTTGCAAAAATTGCCTGTAGGTAGCTTGTGCCTGCCATGACATGACCAGAGTCCATACCGGTATCCCTTTTTGCTTTATCTTGGCGGCTATATAGTTGTGTGAAGATGGTGGATACTAGGCTCATGTGTTGTTAATGGTTACATCACTTTTCATTTTGAATTGATGGAGCAGGGCATCCTTACAATTGTAAAACTAACCATACTTTGTTGGAAGCCGTTCTGTTAGGTTGTGCATCAGTTGGGTAAAGGATGAGGCTCAAATCCAAATATTGATTGACCAATGAAAGGTTGGAGTGGGCAGGGCCATGACCATGTAAGGAAAAAATGGACGTGATTTTGTGCATCCTAGCTTTCAAGTGAAAAATAAGACATTAGCAAGTTGTGATTCACACAAGGCCTGTACTCACTCAGCGCACAATTGACTGGCGGTCCTAATGAAGTAAGTTGTGACTCAAGGCCAACCGACGTTTGACTGCAATTGCTGATCGAAAGAAGCGTGCCAGAAAAAGTGAGTAATTAAGAGATGGTAAATAGTTATTATTTGTATTAATTTGTTTACAATATTGTCAATTATAGCAAAATTAATTATTATTCAATAGTTACTATTTTGTATTTATTGTTTTAAAAATAAATTTCTAAAGTTTTTCATAGTGCCGATCCATTTATGGAATGGCCAGCTGATTGTCTGGCAAAGTGGACGCCCAGAACCTGCAAAAAATATCATTTTCGGGTGAATGTGCGTACTTTCGTCAAGTATTACTCGTTGACTATCATTCCTTTGGTAAATGGAAGCTTTTTCTCTTCAGTGGGTGTACTCAATACCGCAAGTATTGTCCCGTTACACTGAATGCACCCCGTCATAGGGCATAAATGCAGCCCCCATCATAGCGGGGGCTGCATTTATGCCCATATATGGTCATAGGTACAAGATCCATTTATTGATCGATCAATGTTTTTATTTCTGCTTCATAGTTTCCCCAATTGGCATGCTTCTTGTAAAACACTGATTGGCAGTGCTGCTAGCAGGTGGCAAAGAAAAATGAAGCTAACCACACACACAAAAAATACAGCCAAAATAATGACTGTTTTTTATGCAAAGCATGCTAAAAGGCCATCAGGAAATTGATTTTTTATGGAGGCAATCTGGTGTCAAAATCAAAGTATTGATTCCACACACATTAGTTTGTGTTTTGTTTTTGATAGTTTGGCTATTAACAAAATTGCATAGGCGTAGGAACAAGAGGGGCCAGGTGGGCAAGTGCCCACCTACTTTTTGAGGTGGGGGGGGGGGGGCCGGGGGCTACAGGGCCTCCTGTAAGGGATTTTCACTGGGGGGGGGGGGGGCAGAGGCTCAAGGAGCCAAACCTAGGGTTCCCTCAAATCCTGTTTTCTCATCGGATTTAGGCCACTTATTTTAAGTCATAGCCCTGACACAATGATCTTTTCTTAACTAAGAAAAATAAAAATAGTAGCCTATCTTATCCATGCTTTGATATTTATTTGTAACCCTTTCACATTGCCCGACCAGGTGGTTACAAAAATGAAATACAAAGGAAATACAAACCTCCCAATTTTAACCCTCGCCCGCACATGGGGGGGGGGGTTGCCACCCCCCCAGGTAGTCTTTCTGCTCTGCACTCAACCTTTTTAGAGCTAGAAGGCTGATTTTTCGGATAGCTGCTCCTCTATCCTTTCTTGATGTCCACTGAAAATTTCAAGGATCTGTGATTTTTGGTTTCGGAGATATGACCTTGTTTTTCAGGTCATGTCATGACCCAAATGGACAATTCTCAACATCTTGCGTTGGCTATGGGCCTTGTGAGCTTTTGACACCTTGATTTCGGCTTTTTTGCCAATCTTACCTCCCACCTATCATGGAACATGTTGTTCGACGATGTACAAGTGTCAAGGTCAGGGTCAAGGTCAACCTAGGTCATCTAAGATAATTGCGTTTTAGGCAAGCTGAATTTACTTTTTGTGAAGTTTTTTTGACTGCATTTTTGGTAAAAGCTTCTCAGATCATGATTTCATGTAATATGGACACAAAAATAAATCGGTGCACACATCAGAATACACACAGACACACAAACACACACAATTGACCTTGACCTAACTTGACCTGAAATGACTTCAGCAGCAAAAATATGGTCGGGTAGTGTGACAAGGAGGTTCTAGCTGGCTTGGCACCAGAAAACAGCATCGTCATCGGTATATGATAAGCAGCGCACTTGATATCCAACGGTGACCCAAAACAGCAACATTTTTTAGTTTGACCTGACCTGGAAGGTCAATGACTGACCTGAGAAGTTAAAACTGGGTATCATTGGATTCGTCTCTTCCCAAAGAATCTTTTTGGTCTTTACCGCTAAGCTCTATCTCCAACAGGAACGAAATGGCGCGGGGGGGGGGGTGGCAACCCCCCCATGCGCGTTCTAGGATGGGAAAATGGCATGTGCGGGCGAGGGTGCTATCTTGCTCAAAATTTTGCGCTGAACCTGAATCCCCTTTCAGCATTTGGGGCCTGGGGGTAGGTCTGGTCAGGTAAGCTCAGGTAGGTCAACCAGTGTCCAGTAGCTAGCCTAGGTGTCATGCCAGGTAGCCAAAGTAGGTGTCAATCACCACTGAAAGGGAGCTTCGTAACATGGGAAGCTTCGTAACATATTTTTTGGCACCAAACCCTCTCCTGAAAATGGATCCTAAATTCGACATCTGCAAAAAGGACACTAATATATGTTGAAACTTGAAAAGGTGAAGCAAGGTCATCTAAGCTCAGTAACCTTGACCACCTGACCCTAATGCGACCCTGACACCTACCATAAGGCATGGTATTACAATCATCCCACAAGTTGGCGCGTTTTTTTAAAGACACAAATAGTCTGAAAACGCGTCGATAATGTGCGGTAACACGCAGAATCGCGATTCTGCCATGCCATGGTCTCTAGAAACACGCCATAGGTCAAGGGCCATGGGATTCGGGGTCATATAATTGTCATGATGTGTGTAATTTTGATTAGCTCGTGAATGCGAAAAGTTTCGCCGCGATCGGCCACCTTTTACGAGTTTTTTTCTTAACTGAGTGTCATGGGTGGGTCTATCCGACCTCCCAATAAGCGCGACGTTCAATTTCTCTCAAACACTCAGGGTATATTTTAACAAACTGACTGCGTCCCATTTGGGGACGCAGCCCCCTGCCATTGGGACGTAGCCCTCGCGAAATTTGAACCACTGCGTCCCACACTGGAATGACAGGGTGTCAGCGGAAAAGTGCTAGCAAAAATAAGTAACATGCCTCGGTCTTTTACTGTGTAACAGATGTTGCTTTTCGATTGCTTTGTGCCCTGATTTACTATGTACCTAAGCACAAACATGCCCTCTCCATTCCTTGTGCCTTGCCCTATCCTGAAGACGTACACCTTGTTATATCCTCCCCTACTATACCCCTAGGGTATGTGCCCTGCCCAGTGTGTTTGAGGCCCTGTGCCCTTCTCTGCCCTCAAGCCTTGTACACTTGTCCTGCCATCAGACCCCGTGCCCTGCCTTGCCCTCAGGTGCTGTGCCCTGTCCTGCCATCAGGTCTTGTGCCTTCCCATGCCCTCATGCCCCGGCCCAGCGTCCTTCCTCAAGCCTGATGCCTTGCCCTGCCTCAGGCCCTGTCCTGTCATGTTTTGCTACCAGGCCCCATGTGCATGCCCTGCCCTCAGACCCTGTCCTATTCTGCCATTAAGCCTTGTGCATTGTCTTGCCCTCAGACCCCGCCCTCGCACTAAGCTGCTGTGCTCTGCCCTGTCATCAGGCCTTGTGCTGTCCCATGCCATCAGCCCTGTGTCCTACTCTGCCCTCAAGCCTTGCACACTGCATTTCCCTAAGGTCTCGTGTCCCACTGCTCTTAGGCGCTGTGCCCTGCCCTGCTATCAGGCCTTGTGGTGTCCCCGTCCTCAGGTCCCGTGCCGTTTCCCGTCCTCATGCCCTTACCTGTCCTCACAACCTGTGCTTTGTTCTGCCCTCATGCCCTGAGCCTTGTCTTGCCCTCAGGCCCTATACCCTGTCTTGTCATACATTCAGGCCTTGTGCCCTACCTGTGTCCTTATATCTTATACTGTATATTATATCTTAGGTACTGTTTCTTGCCCTGCTCTAAGATCCTGTGTGTGTGTGTGTGTGTTGCCCTGCCATCAGGTGTGGTGTTCATCAGGTGTTCTAAGGCCCTGAATCTTGCACTACTCTCCAGCCTTGTGTAATGACAGCCTCAGACCCGCGCTTTGCCTTGCCCTCGGACCCTGCAACCTACCCAGTCCTCACGTGCCTAATGTGTCTTATCTTAGCCTCATGGCCAGTGTCTGCCCTGTTCTTAAGGCTCAGACTCTGTGTCCTGCCCTTCCCCGAGGTCCTGTTTAGAGATGTCAAGGTCGAGCCCGCAGGCCCGGCGGCCAACCAGGGGGCCCTGGGGGCAATCATATGTTTTGCCGCCCCCCGCCCCCATACACTTTTTACTCGGGACCCTCTCGTCTCGAGTTGAGAGGACGTTGTAACCTTCCAGAATAAACAAACTCAGTAAAAATAAGTTCCACGTATCTCCACGCACGGACTCCAAGGGACCCTTGTTGATCCAAGGAGGCCCTCTATCCATACCCGTCAGCGGAGGCTCCTGAGACTGATGGCCTGAGAGGCGCTAGTGGATCTGAGCACTGAAAACAATTTCACCCGAAGCTGGCGAATTAAGCGTTGCTCTGCGGGTGGTATATGTGTATTAACTCGCCATGTCCAGATTCTAGCTAGAGGGTAAGCAGACTTGCCTGCCTTACTACTCGTAAATATGCACTGCACCCACAGTCTGCAGTAAGGTAGCTACCCAGCACCGGATATTGTCCCCGCGTGT